AACAATGGATTCAAGCATAGCTACGGTAGGTAGGATGCCACAGAGCCAGGCAGTATTTTGTTCTAATATAGTAGGGTCACTAGGAATCAGAACCAATTTGATAGCATCTAACAATAACAACAACAACCACTCATCTGTCAGTTTGTCATACTGTGGTGGCTAGTGTGTTGCTGTGATGCTGGAAGCTACGTAACAGGTATTTTAAATACCAGCAGGGTCAACCACAGTGGACAGGTTTCAGCTGAACTTCCAGATAAAGAAAGTCTAGGAAGAAGGAAAGACAGATGACTTCTGAATCACTGAAAACCTTATGAATAGCAGAGAAACACTGTCAGATATAGTGCCAGAAAATGAGCCCCTCAGGTTGGAAGGCACTCAAAATATGACTAGGGAGGAACTGCCTCCTCAAAGTAGGGTTGTCTGTGATAATGCGAATAGACTAAAGCCTTTAGGACCTTCATTTGTTGATGGGACACAACTCATAGATTAAGAGAAATAGCTGTATTTTCTGCTTTCAGCCATTAAATATCCATTAATAATCAGAATATGAAATGTATAAGACATGAATCTAAGAAAATTTAAAATTTTCTAAAATGAAATGGAACCCACAAATATCAAAAACCTAAGTGGGAGTCCTGGTGTGGCACTGTGGGTTAACGTGCTGGACTGCAAGGTCACATTGAACTGCAAAGTCGGCAGTTTAAGCCCACCAGCTGCTCCTTGAAAACCCTATACAGAGTCATTGTGGGTTGAAATCAACTCAACATCACTTAACAACAACAAGCATTAGTGACCTGAAACTGAATCTGACAATCACATGATATACTATACCAGAAATGACAAAATGAAAACGCATGGTGTTGCATTAATCATCAAATATAGCATATCAAGATCTGTCTTCAAATATAATAGTGTCTGTGATAAGATGATAGCCATACATTTACAAGGAAGAACAGTTAATACATCTATTATTCAAATTTATGCAACAATTACTAAAGCCAGTCATAATTAAACTGAACAATTCTACAAAATTGGTCAGTCTGAAATTGATCAAACATGCAAACAAGATGTATTGATAATTACTGGTGATTAGAATGCAAAGGCTGGGAAGAAAGAGGAAGGATTCGCCTTTGGAAAATAAGACCTTGGTGATAGAAACAGTGCTGGAGATTGCATTATATAATTTTACAAGACCAGTACTTTCTTCATTGCAAATGCCTTTTATAAACAACAAAAAGGACAACTATGCACATTGGTCTCACTAGATTGAATGCACAGAAGTCAAAATAACTACTTCTGTGGAAAGAGGCTGTAGAAAAGTTCCATTGTTGTTGTTATGTGCCATGGAGTAGGTACCGACTCATAGCTACCCTATGCACAACAGAATGAAACACTGCCCAATCCTAAGCTAACCTCACAATTGTTGCCACTATTGAGCCCATTAATGCTGCCACTGGGGGTATTCTTCTTTTTCTCTCACCTTACCAAACATGAATCCCTCTCCTGTGACTGCTCCCTCCTGACAATATATCCAAAGTATGAGAGACAAAATCTGGCCATTCTGGCCTCCAAGCAGCACTCTGGCTGCACTTCTTCCAACACAGATCTACTGATTCTTTTGGCAGCCTGGGGCACTTCCAATATTCTCCTTCAACACCATAACTCAAAAGCATCAATCCTTCTAAGACCTTCCTTATTCACCGTCCAACTTTCGCATGCATATGAGGTTATTGAAAATACCATGGCTTGGGTCAGTTGCACCTTAGTCTTCAAGCTGACATCTTAGCTCTTCAACACTTTAAAAAGGTCTTGTGCAGCAGATTTGCCTAATGAAATATATGTCATTTGATTTCTTGACTTCCATGAGTGTTGATAGTTGATCCAAGAAGAATGAAGTCCTTGACAACTTCAATCGTTTCTCCATTGATAAGAATGTTGCTTATTAGTCCAGTGGTGAGCATTTTTGTTTTCTTTACATTGAGATGCAATCTATACTGAAGGCTATGGTCTTTGATCTTTATCAGTAAGTATTTGAAGTTCTCTTCATTTCAGCAAGCAAGGTTGTATCATCTGCATATTGCAGGTTGATAATGAGTATTCCTCCAATCCTAATGCTACTTTTTTCTTCATGTAAC